AAGAAGGGGTCAAAGGGGTCAGGGTGACCTATAATGGCCGGCCACCAACCTTTAGTGGCCTCCCAGACTGTGTAGATCACATGATATGTGGTTGAAAGTTGCAACACTACCCTAAGTATCCAACATTAGCCCGGGGAAGTTGCAAAACGGGCGCCGGGGCCCCGGAGGAAGAGATAACTGGTTGCTTGCAACAATTGCTTGGCTCCCACCCCTTCAGTGACCTTCCCTGTTGATTAAAGAAGAAAAATGGTTTGCATTGCAGAAGTGATATATATACAAGTATCAAAGCCCACAGGTCAGGTCAGTGATAGGGTTTTCATTAAATCTCTGCTTGTGCCGATTGGGGGGAGCCACGGATCTCTTCAATGCCATGGGCTGTCAGGAAGCGGACAAGCTGATGATAAGTGCTTGGAACGGCCTTCATAATATGTATCTAGGTTCGCCCCCTGATGACATTATACGGCGAAGGGAGCTTTACGACCAGGGATTCTACTTCGACCGTTCTGGAGCCCACTCGAACAGGTAGTATGATTTTCCCTAACGAGTACTCAGGAATCGTATTAAAGTCGAACAATGGGTGAGGCGCCAGAGACAGATCTGACTCGTTGAGGCCGAGTTTGATGAAAGTTTGGTAATACATAACCTCTGAAGTACTCCCTGGGTCTATGAGAATGCGTTCAATGGTGAACCGATTTATGCGTAATTTAATGATCAATGGATCGATGTGGGAAGCTGTTGTGCCGCTAAGATCGGAGTCATTGTAAGTAATTGTCAGAGCTTCTTTGGGCCTTTCAGTCAGAATACGTTGCTTTTGGGGGATTGGATGCGATTGAATTGTGTGCACGGTTGGGGGTGAAGGCAGGCTGTAGATCATATGGATCACGCCAAGTGGAGGTGAGTCCTGCCTCAAGGCCAGTGCCGTGGTTGGCTTTCCCTTTCTCACGTACTGTTACAGTCGGCCATCTTGCATCAGTTCTTCCAGGTGATCTATTAATGCGTAACAACTCTCCGTTTCGTGGACGTGATCTTTGTGATATTCGCATCGTCTATCCCTTCTTCGCATGTCAGGCGGCCCCACCATCTTTGACGGTTATTTGAAGAATGGAAGGTGTTGGACTTTGGTCATTATTGCAGCGATTGGTTCTGAAAACTTTGTGTACTTCTTGTTGGCACGCCTCGAACGCCTGCTGTCGACTTGCAGTTGTTCATTCGTCCGGTAGGAGCATTGATCGCTTGATCGGCGAGTATCTCGCCTTTTATCTCGTTTAGCGCGTTGCTGAGGCTCTAGGCTAGGAGGTGGCATGGAACTTATTGGTTGAGCAATTTCGGGGGGGGCCGTTTTGTTGGACATTTGGTTGGCTTTTATTCTCAAGGCATCATCTTCCACTTTGCAATACTCTTTAACTTTCTTCATCAACGCTCAGACTGTTTTGGGGGTCTTCTAGTCAGGGAACTGCGAAGAGGACTGTCAGAATGTAGTCCCATTTTGAAGGCAGTGATGGCCATGGAGTCGTTGTAAGTGTTGTCGATGAGGTTGAAGCACTCGTAATAGCGCACCGAATACGCTCTGAGCGTTTCTCTTGACTGAATCTGCATAGCCCAGAGAGAGTCAGCCTGTTTCGGCTGCACCTCGTTGGTGATGAACCTGGCCCTGAAGGATTTTTGTAATTGATGGAAGCTTTTGATCGAGGCCGGCTCCAACTTGTAGTACCACCTGACAGCTAATGGCCCCAGGCTGCTGGGGAATATTCGGCACATGAGGGCTTCGTTGTCTGCATGCAATGTCATGGCCTGCTTGTAGTGACGGATATGATCAGTGGGGTCTGATTTTCCATCGTAGAGAGTGAATGACGGAGCTTTGAACTTCTTGGGCAGGGTCGCTCTTGCAATCTGTCGGACAAAAGGATCGTGCTGGTCCTTTTCGTCTGAACTGCTCCTCCTGCACTTGTTCCTTGTATGTAGACTCTTTTCGGAGGAGCTGGAAGTTTCGGATCGTCCCTTCTTGTTGAACTCCGTGGTTAATGAGTTGGAGTCGCTATCGGTATCCTTTGGTCGGCCTCGAGGTCGTTGTCCACTGGCCCTCGGAGGTTGTTCAGGATCTTGGCGCATGGCTTCTCTCGATTTTGCGACTTCCAGGGCCAAATCTTGACGGAGACGTTCATTTTCAGCGATCATGTTCTCCAGCCTTTGTTCATTCTGCTTTGCTTGTTCGATGATCGCCTGCATTGTCTCTTGCGCTGAGGTCGTTAGTGAGTCGAAGCTCAAGGCGCGTCTTGCAGCGATGGTTTCTTTTCCGAGCATATTTTCTGGAGTGAGGTCATCTCCCTGTGCGGTCTCGTCAATGGTTATCGGAGGATCTTCAGTCACGCCTGCCATGGATGTATTTGAGTATTCCCACAAGCGGCGCCAATTGTGGAGAAGTAGTTCGGAAATACTCTTCGGATCTTGGGAGACGCTAGTGATCCTCAGCTAGTCACCTGAAAAGATACAAACACTCCAGTCGGGGGTGCCAAAATTAGCATTTCGACGGACAAGTTAGTTCAGATACTCAGGGTAGCTTCTTTACTAAGTTTTGTGAAGTGATTCTTACATACCTTTCTATAACCGTTGTTCCTGTATTTATACCTGTTCTTTTTGATCCTCGGGGCCAGGGCCTACTTTTTAATCATTGTCCTTTCTTGTATTCGGCACTAAGGACTTACACTTATTTGGCACTTATATTATATTTGGCTCCCCACTCTCGCAGGATATAGCCGATTAATATCAGTCTTCCAATGGTACGCACCATCTGATTTTTCCATATATTCGGCCTCCACAATATTTATTTAATTTGGTACAATTTGAATTTAAGTGAACTAGTATGTGACACGTGCTATGCACAGAATAAAATAATATTTTACTTGTAAAATAATATGATAGTTTTTTTCATTTTGTCCTCGTAAATTAAAATTATTAAAAAGTAAGAATTTAACAAAAAAGAAATTTAATAACTTTTCTGATTTTACAAAGTTCATAAAATTCATTACTTTTTGGGATATTTACAAATAAATCCCATCCCACAAACAATTGCACCATTTGGTCCCAACGTTGTGTCTGTTGTTCTGATTTGTCCTATTAGTGAGAGAATATATTCCTGTTGGATCCTATTTTCCTTATTTGGTAATATTTACTAGTCATTTATACCCTTTGTTTTCTCGTGGCTCATTCTTGGTGGGTTTTGTTGTACATATGGAAGCACAATATGTTTCCTCCATTATGTTAGGGTTTTTGTGGTTGATGTGAGGGTGTGTTGTGGTGATTGGTGTGTTTGTGGATAGACGGTGATTTGAAATTCTGTCAGCAGTAGTTCTGGTGTTATGGAGGTATTGTTTGTTTCAGTTGTTTTCGTGTGCGTTGTGTATGTATTTTAATTGCATGTTGTGCCATACAATGTTCACATTATAATCATTGTTCCCCATTCATATGGGGTTGGGCACATTCGTATTCAATATGTTAACAGTTTTTGGCCATTTAAGTTGTTGTCATGATGACACATTGATGTCGTTCATTGTTGTTTTGGTTGTTCTAGTTTTTGTTCCTGTGTAACTTTATATGATTCTTCCCGTCAATATGTTTGCAACACAGTGGTGCGTATTTTGTGTATGTGATACACATGGATGGGTTTTACGGAGGGTATGGAGGTGTTGACACATATTTGTATGTTACAGTGTGTTGCGTTGTACTTATGGTAATCTAAAACTATTTGTTACATTGTTTGCATATTGTAGGGATGGATGCTCATGTTATGTGGGTGTGTTGTTACCGCAATATGAATGCCGCCATCAGGTTGTAATTTCTATTTTGATTCGATGATTTGGTTACTTGTGTCCGTCAAAATTTTGATGGTCTCACACATGCTGATGTGTGTTTCTTTTTCAAGATTCTAGGATACAATAGTTTCTAATTATAAAATGATATCGATATGGAAAACATGGTATCCCTTGCACGGTCTTTCCATTTAGAACATATTGATGTCGTCATTGAAACTCGACTCACGCAAAGTTCAAACAGCATTGGCAACACAAATCGGAAACCATGTGATGTTACATTCAGTTCACCGGGGGAAGGAGAAGAGTCGGACGGTGATGATGAACAAGATGATTTACTCCCCAAATTTTGTCCTCATGTTGACAAAGTTTTCATATCCACTTCATGGACTAATGGCATCACACATGTGGGTCAAAGCTTTGAGGGCAGGGCTGATGAATTTCGTATTGTTCTTCGTAAGTATGCGGTTGAATGTGGATTCCGGTTCAAGTATCTGAAGAATGACTCTGTTCGGATTACAGTTGTGTGCACAATGAGGGAATCAAAAGGATGCATGTGGTCTATACACGCACGAGTCTTGCATGCTGATGAGTTCTTTTACATTCGTAAGTGGAATACAGAGCACAGTTGCAGTGTTGCCGTTCGGACACCAAAAAACCCCGAGGGCTGGGTCTGATTTAGTATCTGATGTTATCTCTAAACAAGTACGTAACAAACTGCTCACACGACCGTCCGATGTTGTTTATGACTTGAAGAAAGATTATGGATTAGAGATAAGCTACCGAGTAGCATGGTTGGGCATTATGAAAGCAAGGGGCGAGATGTTTGGTGCACATTCCATTTCGTTCGATCAATTACGGTGGTATAGTAATTCTGTTATGGAAAACAATGCAGGCAGTTACATTAACATTGACTATGATGACCAAAATCACCGGTTTGTACGATATTTTATATCATTCAAAGCATGCATTGATGGTTTCAATCATTGTCACCCTTTACTATTCCTAGATGATACCTTCTTGAAGGGAAAATTCAAAGGCAACTTGCTAGCTGCTATCGCAAAGGATGGCAATCAAGGTTATTCTCATTCATAGCACACACACTGTTAATGGCATAATTTGTTGCATTTTTTAACTCAATGGTGTTTACGTCTTGTCCATTTACGGAACCCACTATCAATTTTACACACAACCTTATTCCCATTGGAAATTGCAATTGTCGACTCGGAGAACACAACTAATTGGGCTTGATTTTGGAACACCTCGCGAACGTGGTCACAACGGATAGGATGATCACATTCATTTCAGACCAACACACAAGTGTACTTGAATCTATTCCAACCACATTCCCATCAGGCCACCATGCATTCTGCTTACAACATTTGCGACAACAAGATACACAGCGGATGAGATTTGTATGACTTGGTTGAACCATATTACCATGTGTTCGAATATCGTTCCACATATGCTTCAAGCATAATTCCAATACCAACTATTGAGAAACCACCGTTCAATACTGAAGATTCCATCATACACCCACGAGTTGTGAAACGACCACCAGGAAGGCCAAAGAAAAAACGAAATCTGTCACGGGGGGAAGAAGTGCAACAAATTCATTGCGGACGTTGTCCACGCATGGGGAACCACAATAGGAAGACATGTAATGAACTAATTCAGCCATCACTGCATGCAACTATATGTCTAATGTTTTCATTCCAAAGTTTGTCATTACGGTTCCAAAGTTTCTTTAAATAAGTGTGTGCCAAAACACAAAACATACCGTACTATTATTTTTTGCGTTATTACGTGGTTTCTATTATGTAAGTCGACCAAATAATTTAAGTGACACACAACCCCAAACCTAACAATTTATGAAACTATTTCTACCGCTATGACGTTTTACATTTTTCAAAATATTAGGCAAACGTTGGTATGTACTGTAATCTTCCACAATTTTTAGCAACTACGAGTAGGCATTGAATTTGTTACATGAATGGCATTGCACACAAATGTGGTCCTATCCAACACACGTCTTCAGAACATAGTATGTTAACAACATTGTTACACCTACAACATGACACACATTCGCCACAGTGTACTAAACACGTTAACAGTTACAACCTGAACCACAACCAGCTTTACACTTACTCAACGCATGTTCGTCACATTTCATGAAATAGTATATACAACACGCAATATTGTCCACCCATACCCCAACATAAACATTTACACAACCACCACCTTCATGGAACAACACCAACCCACATAATTGTTTGCCACACACACTGGTGCTTGTTGAACATACCCACCCATGTTATTGTCCACCAGATAGAACCACTTTTGTACAACATCATTAGACAATAGCATGTAAATTTCATTCACAACTACCATTTTCAATACCAAGCTTATGTAAACATAGTGCCTATGCAAAATCGCAAAAAAAAAAAAACAACACATTTATCAAAAGCCCACATCGTATTTACTACCAAAATTAGTTTGTTCACGTACATTCACAAAAGAAAAAATCCATGCACATTCCACCTTACTAATCAAAAATATATAACTGTACAATATTGTTTTCATATGCACTGAAAAAAAAAACATTCAGATTGAATGTTTCAGACCCCTGATCGTGTCGTTCACAAATCCTTTAACCATGTTTGCTCTTAACACGATGTCGTTGTTTCCTTACAATGAACGCCTCACATCAACATAATACACGTACTGCCACATCACCGCGCAAGCAATAACTACACAATCCAGCCTGCGTTGGGAAAACCCAAAGAACAATTTGACAATTACATTGCACAATCACTTTTAGAAATAGTGGACAATGTACTAGTTTCAACATCGGGTTACTTACAAGTTGGCTCTCTGTTGGGGCAGTCTTCAACAGACTTGAGGGGGTGGTTGAAGGTCTCAGCGATGCTAACCTCGTCTATTCCATCCGCTCGTAACGACTGCTTCATTACAATTGAGACATGTTCCTTTTGTCACACACAAAACAACCACCTAAATTAATTTCAAGTCACAATACGTCCACAACCTTATTAAAACAACAATTACATGTGTTTTTTACCAGGATAAGTGCTTCATTGTAATGCACGTCTGATCTGCCAGCCAAACGTTGCCTCGTCATATTAAAATGTTTCCAACTTCCATCCTTTGTGTCGTACACCATGAGAGTACAGTGTGCTTGGTTGCATATAGGGAAATGAATGTACTTACAATCCTTAGACGATGCAAAATTCTGCAACACATAACTTTCCATGGTTTTTGTGCTGCTGGTTTTGATAATGTTCTACAAAACAATCAGTCTTTATCAGAAGATGTCCATGCGCCAATTACCATATAACAATTACACAGTACTTCTCACCATGCAAATACTACTGAAGAAGTACGATTTGTCCGCTAAAGCATCACCCGCACAAACATGCGTCTGCTCTGTCAACAGTATCTCATCATATGCATCAATTACCTGCAGTGAGACACCAACACATTAATTACGGATACGACAACATACATTTACAATTCTATGGAAAACAACACAACACATGTGACACTAACATAATAAGGCAACTCACATTGCCACGAATACTATCTCCACGTACAAGACTCTTGACGTCGGTAAAATACTTCGACACACCGTTGTCAACACTAGCCCACATGATAGCCCTACACATAAAACAAATGCATTAGCTCACCAAAACATGTTACGCTTATGAAGGGGGAATTGCATGTATACCCGGGCATACCTGTCACCATTCCATTCGTAAGCCTTTGTTTTTTCTCTTTCTCTTCAAACGTCATCAGTTTCCATACCCCAAACCGTTTGTTCAACTCAAACCCAGACCATTTATTGGCAGTCACACCAGCTATGTCTACATCTATAACTATGTCATTCACATTACCCTTGTCTACCTCTCCACCCTCATCCATTTGTGTGTGTATTTTCTTTTCATGATCATGACCTAACTGGTAGTCATAATCTTTTAGCCTTAATTCTTTGCTAACTTTGTTCTTAATGTTGCGCACAAATGAATTTCTCACATCTTTCCCAACATACGGAAACACCTCCACTTTAGGGGCCGACAGACTAATATCACCCAGACTCCATTGTGGCGCCAGACTAGAATCAGGCACTGTGTGCACAGTTACATTTTGACCACTAACACCCGAATTTACACTAAATCATCACATCAAACCCACTTCCACCTTGGCAATGGCTCGCACCAACGTTCCCAAAGTCATTTTTCCGGTAAGCTTGCGTAACAATGTGCACTTGGTGGTCAGCCAGCTGGTCCTCCAACATTGATATTGTTTGGCGTAATTCCTTGTTCTCATTTTTAAGTTTTCGTATCTCGTCATCCTTAACCTTCATGACACACCCAAACCCACCGACAATGTTCACAGCTTGCATTTCTATTTTACTCTTCAAACTAACTACTTCCTCCACTAGCTTTGCTATTGTCCCCACATTTGTTTTGTTCTGCACTTCCATGTCTGACATCGACTTCAACGCCTTCTCCTATTCGGTGAAACCTGCCATGTCACTCCCTTCATTATGTACCGTGCTGTGCATGTCATTCGATTTCACTCCCATGCCATCCCCAGCCGAATGCGCCATATGTACCACCCCATCGGCACAAACACCAACCACATCTATCACTCCATCATCACAATGGCCAATATCATGCTCGTCTGTTGCCAAAATGTTACGTTTGTACTCCAAAGATCTTAACCTGTCAATTTGTACCTGCCCATCAAAAAAACATAACACAACACAAACATCATGAACATTCAAACACCCTTATCTAATAACAATTGTGAACAAACACTACATATCACTACATAGGTCATGTACCTGGAATTTGCCAGGTGCTAAGAAATCTAAACCCTGCAACCTGGTAATTAAGGCACCAATGTCCCAACTTAGAAATCTTGGGAACATATTCTCCGTTTTGGGTTTTACCAGCGTTGAATGTTCACAAATCCAATACTTCGTTTCAAACGCAAAATTCTTTAAAATTCACCATTACCATAACAGCACATGTACGCGTAAAATAATTAATACATTTGCAAAACAAACCAAAATACATACCAGCAATGCGATAACACACCCAGTGACCTTTTTCGGCATATGATGGAAATCTTTAATTGAACCCATCAACATTTGCAGTATTGCACCAGTCCAATCATATGCGCATATAGTCTTAAGGTCATCAATGTATCGCACAAATGCTCAGGTTATCGTCTCCCCAGAATTAGCAAAAAACAGCTTCTCACACATATAAAGTGTCAACAACTTCGATGCGTCCTCCTCATCTACCTTCCTTCGCCCACCCACGGCTTCTTCGATGTTATCCGTATGGTGTTATGACTCCTGCGCTAATGAAATCCAATGCCGGCCTTTGACAATGGAAGAGATCAATATGCTTAGTACCACACTGAATCCCAAACAAATGCCTAATATCACTCCTACATAGCTTCATAAAATTTCCACTAATGTTGAATGTGTCACAATGTGCGTCGTACGTCCGTATTATTTTCAAAATCGCCTTGTCAAAGTTCCTGAATTCATTGTGATTCAGTTTGTTAATTCGGATAGCCTCAATCATGATCCAAAATGGAGTCCTCTTCAACTATTCAAAGTGGCCAACCCTCAAACAAGATGTTGTTACAAGCTTCACGATGCCCTCAATGTTTCAACGGAACTCAATCCTTGTGGGTGGAGTGCGTGATGGCCCAGCAGCAGGCTTATTAACTTGTTCACCAGCTAGTTGGTGGTTCACTTTCGATTGCTTGAACAATATGCGGCCTTGTATGTTAACACCCAGTCTGTTCGGTTTTCAACCACATGCACCTTTAAGATGCTTCCATTCGCATGAACGCGTCCATGAACTTATGCTACTATCACCATCTACAATTGCACAAAAAACATATTAATTTGGTACCACCAACTAGTACATTGCAGACCGCCAACACCGACCCAATGTATATGTAGACACCCCATTTTTTACCGTCCTCAAGACTTGGACGTCATCGTTTGAACACTCGATGATCATCCATGCTCGTGTTTGTTTTGAGATCCTGAA